TTTGCGGAGACGCAAGGAACAACCCTCTCCTCTAAGTAATCTCTTCAATTTTCAGTTTACACTCTTCCGGCATTCCATTATTTGATTGCTGTTTATAATCATTGAGTGTACCTTTCTTTTAATAATAATAATAATAATGATATTATAATTATTGAGAAAATAAAAAAATCAAGATGTCTTGATATTAAAAAATATCAAGATGTCTAATAATAGTCATATGATAAATTTAATAAAATTAATGTCTACACTATACCCCACAAATTTAATAGGTTGTGATTGAATATCTTGATTTTTTTATATTAATACGTTTTGATTTTTTCTTTTCTCATAATAATAATAATTATTATAATTACTTATTTGATTTTTTTTTTAAGTTGTATAATAAGGTAATTCTCTCATTTTACATTTAATGCAACTTGAATCTTATGAATCTTGTACTTATATAGTTGTGTTAGAAAGATATTACCGTATTTATAATATGTTTGGTTTAAGGGAAATAGAAGGATGTTGTATCATTTTATTTCTCTTTTCTCATTTGGATAAGTAAATGAATTTAAAATAATAAAACAAAGAGCATTTTTTTCCATCCATTTCCTTCTAATTCTTTTGATAACCAAACAAAGAAAATTTGTCCATCCTCTCCCCTCTATTTTCCTCAACTCAAACATACTATTAAAGTTTGTTTGATTTAAATGAACAAGAGAGGAAAAATATTCCATATTTAGATTAAAATTTTCAGGGGAAGAGAGGGGCTTTGCTTGCTCTAGTTTCCTTTGTAAATTTTAATATATCTAAATGAGAGAAAGTAAGGAGAGAGAAATGAGAGGATGACAATCTCTCCTCTCCTCTCTCCTCTCTCCTATTTCAACTAATCAAATTAAAACATCTCAAAGGAAAATAATTTGATTTCTTAACGTTTACTTTGATTAATAACACTTAAATTCTTTTTTGAATTTATAGTAACGTTTTAATTGAATTGATTAAAATAAACATCTCCCCACTCTTCTTCTCGTTACTCCTCTTTCTTCAAACGAAAAGGGCTCTTAGGTCATTAGGTTCTACGTGATTTTCTAATCTACTTCCTCTGTTCTTGGATAAGTCTTTTTTAACTTATAGAATTTGTTCAAAAATAATATTTGTTCAAAAATAATATTCTCTATGTTCATTAATTTTTAATAATCATATTTTATTTGTAAACTTTCAGACAAATATTAAGTAAAAACTTAACATATTATATAAATAATAATTTAATTTTTTTATCAGATAAAAATATTTAACAAGAACTAAAAAGAAAAAAAACTTTTTAATTGTTATTCATATAAATTATTAAATTTTCATTTGCAATTTATATTTAAAAAGTCAAATTCATACTAAAACCACTAAAATTGAATATAAAGAGTAGCGGTTTTTTCATATATTATTGTAAACAAATGTTTATTTCCACTCTATATCTATTGTGATATGTTGATTTTAATTATACATGTTATCACAAAAAATGCCCCTAAAGATAATATGGGTTATATGTAATTACAAGAAAAAATAAATAAATAAAATGCTAATTATGAAGGGAGAATTGAGGAGAAAGACCTTTAGATCTAGTGACCAAATTTTCAAATGTGAATTAAAAACTTTCTAGCCAATTGATAAGAATTTAAACTTCTGTAAAACTCCTACTCATCATCTCCTTCCCCTGGTGTTGAACCGCGTTCAAGGAGTACTAATTTCATTTATTTAATGATGACAAAAGGATACGAATTTATCAAAACTAATAGGAAAGGAGTGTTAATATAGTATACGCTCAAGCCAATAATACAAAGCAATAAAAAGAAGAGAAATGCATGGAGAAAAAAATGATAATGTTAATTTAAAATGAATCTATCTATCTATCTATCCAGATGTTGAAGAATGATGACTGGAATCTGACCACGAATGCCTCGGCAAATCCGCCGCACCGCCTTGGCTACTGGTCAAACTGAGGTGGCCAGACGGTTGAATCGGAAAAAAATGAGGGTATGATGTAATTGTTGTTGAAGAAGATGAGGATGACGGTGACACAGAAGATGATTGTGCATGGAAACTTAACGAAGATGATAAAGCAGTCTGCTCAAATTCACTTCCTCCCAAAACCATATGAGAATAGTCAAAATATCCCCTTGAAATATCCGGCTTTTGGAGGTGGGAATGAGGCTGCGAGTGAACGATTGGCTCGGTGGAAACCGGAATGGACAAAAGGGTATTGGCAGAATCCGAAACGGTCAACTGGGTAGACACTGGAATATTGGCCGAAGGTGGTGATCGGATCCGAACGTTTTCAGGGAAGTTGAGTTTGGCCTTGCTCCCTCTGAAGCGGAGGGCGGCTTCATCGTATGCTCTGGCTGCTGCCTCTGCAGTGTCAAAGGTGCCTAGCCACACTCTAGCAGCTTTAAAAGGGTCTCTAATCTCCGCCGCCCATTTCCCCCACGGCCTCTGCCTCACTCCCCTGTATCTTCTCCTCGGATCTTCAGGTCTGTAAGTTTCATCATTGCTGTTGTGATATTCGTAGATCGGAACCAATTGCGTCGGTGTGTTTGTGCTGTTACCTAAATACAATCGTCCACCACCAGATGACGAGCCGCCACCAGAAGGAAGCCTTCCTCCACCACCATGACTACTACTCCCGCCAACCTCTTCCCTACTTCTCTTCTGCCCACCAATTCTCAATGTCTCCAAACTGCCATCAACAAAATCTCCAGCTTCAGGGGCATCCCCAGCCACAACGTGACTTAAAGCCGACACCATAACCGACATCTCCTCCTGTCTGCTTAATCCGTAAAGCATGGATGATCCCATCTTTCCATGATCTTCCGACTGCACCCTTGGCTCAAACAGCCACTGATTCATGTCCCTCTCGTCATTAACGTTGTCCTTTCCGTTCGCCACCTTCAGCATACACATATACAATCAAGAAATTAAGTTGTCTGAAAATTAGAAGTTACTCCGTGCAAAGATGGTCGGAGAAAACAAGCAAGAAACCTGACCAGGATGAATATGGAACCAGAGAGAGATATATAGGGAAATTTTTGAGGTGATTGACGGTTAAGTTCGCCGCCATTGGGTTCAATTTAAACCGTTCTTGTAATATCTATAAAGGGGATTAAAAAATTCGAAGAAATTTTTTTGAAGAAGGGAAAATTTCACTGATAAGAGAAAAATATTAT